TCAGAAATTTGAAAAGCTTTCACTATTCTGCGCACGGCTTACTAAATTCCACATTCGAAAGTATGTTGCATATGTGGTGCTTGTTATACTGTTGGTCACTGTTCTGACTAAGATCTGACAAATTGCGTCCATAGGATCATGGCATACTTTCCATGGACTTCATTTTTAGACAAACAAGGCCATAACGCTGAGCACTCGACGGAACTAGCTTCAGTCCTAGGCGATCAGAAAACTGGCAACAGTGTGGTGTTGGGCTCTGATATTACTGGTGGCGGTATGCACAACGTATTTTGAATGTACACAAATTTTTCATCACGACCGAGGCGAAACCCAGCTTATTCTTCTAAGAATTTTTAACTCGTAGGTTTGGAATCATCATCTGCCTTGCGTATACTGAGTGCCGGCTTTTTCTGATCTACACACAATAAACTAGCTGTCGTACATGGATCCATTTATGAGAGCCTGCTTGATCATCAACTCATCCAATTGAGATGTTATTCTCTCATGACAAACAAAAGATACCGATAGTTTGATATGCGCTGCGCTGCATTCTTGAACACCTCTCGAACAAGCTAGCGGGAGTCGCATCTTTGCCATTGCCTCGAACATCACCATCCTCATCATTGTGTACATCAGCCAAGCATAAGAATTGTCTCAGCTGTTGTACCGTTTCGAGTATTTAATCTCAAAGCGCAATACAGGTTTGCATAGGCAGTCTAGTGAGACAACCTAGAGTTATGCTTTTGGGGTCGTCTGAGCTCACATTTAGACCACTTAGACTTGGATTGCAGTAACAACACTGCCCAACGAGCCTTAAGCTTCTATAGTCTAATGACTAGCGACTCGTCTACCGATGTCAGGATTCTTCTGACCAGCGGTCCAAATACAACTTGTGTGACGTTTCACATAGGGCAACGTATTAAACTACCAAGTTCCGCGAGCACTGTAAGGCTTTGTTTGGGTTAGCGACGATTGGGAGGGCGTCACAGTTCACTGCAAATTGATTCTACTGTCATATTTTAGCAGCTATCAAAAAGTTTATGGCAGCATTGATCTTTCAAAGGTAAAGAATGAAATCGAGTTTACTGATTGGATCCCTGATAAGTGTCATTGATAGCGACAATCGATAGCTTAGTTAGACCCGGTAGTCACCTGATTTGTACACAGCTATATTACGATATTTTGACCTCTTGACGTCGCTGAAACACCTTAACTTGTTTACACATACCAGTGTGTGATTTGTATCGAGGTCGGTGAGCCAAACAATCCGCAGCCTTGGATCTTGCGTGACCATTTGAAGTCGATTGCAATGTGCTCGATTTTCAACATCTCTCGTGTCACCTAAGGCTGGCGCCCAACGGCAGACATTCTGCTTTCGAAAACGTTATGCTAGCCCTTGCGCAATTGGCAGTCTGTTCTCTTCAGATGAACGACTCTCTTTGATTTCATCATGGGGACTACCAAGGTAGATTTCCTCTGGCAGCAGTTGACCATTCCGTTACGGAAATCTTCAACAAGGGAACAAGGTTACTCGATTTGTTATCTTTACTCCGAATGTGGTCCAGTTTACCATGCACACCACATTACTGAATAAATGATGACCACAACAAAAATGTGGTGCCTTTCGTCGCCCTATCTCTGTCGGTGCCGCGTAAGTCCCGAAACCGAAGTTCACGTTATTCAATCCTCCGGTCCGCGCCTTCTCCTTACCGCTTTGTTCTACTCTAACCCCAGTCACCCGCTGCAACTGTTCCTGTGTCGCTCTACCTGCAAAGTACATACTTGGCTTTTAATCGACGAAGAGAGCATCAACGGGCTTCGGAATGACGGCAAACATCCCCAGCGAAGGACTTCAAGCCACACAGTAAAACGGATTGTTGCTCAATCTGGAAATTGTATTTTTCCACTGGAACGGTGGTCCGGCTCGAAGGACTCTGTGATCATCAGGAAAATTGATATCGGAAACACATTCGAGGAAACGGAAACTGATAGTCGCTTAGGAGGCGGTTTATGATGATGAGGTGTAGGTGACAATGGATTCGGGTGCAGTAAACGGCTGTGTTGACGAGATCACCTTCCTACAAAAGCCTGATATAACTAGGTTGCGCAAACCAAATTGCCAGGTTGCTTTATCGAACATCGCTCTGTTCTTCTTATTTGTGTGCCTATAAGGGACGTGGTACGCAGTGTTTATGACAATGGTTGCTTGGTGTGCTCTCACCGTAGAACGGTTTACGGCTCGGACACCGCCTTGCTCATACCTGACGCGTCGTGTCCCTTATCAGATTGTTGCACATACCCTTAACTGGCACACACAGATCGGGCATAAACTAGACACTCACAACACATGCGCACTGAAGTGTTATGTACGTTGCATCGACATTCTCTCTTCGGATTCACTACTCTTGGGTTTCCATACACGTTGCTGTATTGTGGTCTCACTTCGATTCAATCACGACTGCCACATTAATGCCTCCCGAGCTTATCCCTTTGAGTTCACGTTGAATTTGCGTTAACCTATTTTAGGCTGTGCCGACCCATGACCTTAAGGATCACAAGCCTGCCTTTTAATCCCGAGTTCGCGGGTTCCACCATGCATGGGGACCGGGAGACGCTCGCAGTATCCTTAGCCCACGAGCAGCTGGTGATAGTACTGCGGCAGCGTAATCTCGGTACCGCTTACTGACATGCTGCTGATGTCTATATGGGGCTGTGGGTCACGCGGCGCGGGTTACACGCTGCTCTGCTTGTGCATGCGTCTTGTATCCTTTCGGCACAACATGCATATATATATATATATATATATATATATATATAATCTTTTGATATTTTCGTCTGCCCGTAGCCTAGAGGTAACGATCTTGTCTCGTAATCTTGCGGCGCGGGTTCGATTCCGCGTAGGAGTTGGCGTCCTCGCGCTGTACTCAGCCCGTGTGCGACTGGTGGCGGTCGCACGGCAGCGAAGCACCGTTACGGCATACAGCGGACACATTATTATTATTATTTGATATTTTTTACAATGCACAGTCGTTGATGAGCAACCTTTCATCCACTAGTACCATTCTGTTTGGTACGCATCTTCAAGCGCTACTTGCATACCACAGTGCTCTCGCTTAGTTTCCTCTTTGGCTCTCTGCTGAATCTGGAGTGAGCTGTGTCCCCCTCCCAGCTGGTCATCAGACGGAATTCCGTGCCACCCCTTCTTCGTCTTTGCGTCTTTCTTTTACAATTATTTACTTGTACTATACTGGCATGTAATGGTTGTGTTTCTCTCTTATAGCCAACGTATGTGGTGATTATGATTAGGAGAAGTGACATCCTCTTTCCTGACCTGTTCACCCGTTGGTTTTGTTTTATTTAGCATCAAGCACCAGGGGATTATCGTTCGTGTGACGTTTGATTGCGCCTAACCATTTTGTTTGACCTCATACTTTGTAGCGTTCGCACTGCCGGTCATCCTAACTACTTCGATCTTTTTCTTCAGAATCGATTAAGGAGTGCTGCGCCGGGAGCAGACGATTCCATACGTTTACTTCCATTAAGCATCATGTGTAATTGTGATTCAGGTGTTGGTTACAGTTGGCATCTCTTTCTCCAATTACTTTAGCTTCGATCATTTGCGTCTGTCCAAAGCGCTAGATAACTCAGGTGCCTTGTCGGATGCGGCAACGAACGATCGCCATACTAAACTCACTACGGAAAGTCAACCGACCAAGCTATGTTCATGGGAGGAACGAGTGCCACACGTGTGGGAAAACCTAGTCATTATCGTTTGACTGTAGTGGATCCAGCCATTTACCAGCGGATACGATATAAATCTCTTTTGGTCTCGCTTCAATACGGCGTTCCGAGTAGAATGCACGGTTCAGTTGTTCAGGCAACGAAGTGCGGTGGATCCAGATGCCACGACTGCTGTCCGACTGAACGATAACGCTAAGAAAATGACGTTGCATGCAAATATAGTACAAATAAAACAGAATAAGGAACACGGGATAGAATGAAGATTAACAGCTTTAAGCATGATATCGAATGCAGGAGCGTCACTGACTGCGCGGCTGTGCTATGCCTGATAAGGTCTCCCACTCTCTTATGTACTAGTCCTGAGCTTCCATGCACGAAGACGACACGCAGCAGCCTTTCGATACGGTGTGGGACACTACATGAGTCTACGGGTCAAAACTGGTATCGAGTGGCAATCGGTTGCTCCAGGATGAAGCTATGTAGCTTCTTCACGATTGCCGTTTTTACACCGGAGTGGAACATTGTTCTTTTCCCCGCGTCAATAGACTCCTGATTATATATCAGCAGACATTCTCCCCACCAAGTTTTTACATGGGCCTATCTGACATCGAATGACATCTCTTCATTCTCAGCCACCCTACCCAGGCGTTTGTGATCCCAATGTAGAGCACGTTCCCCACTTACTGGACCAGTTTAATTTCGTCATATCACTCATTAAAATTCATTTGCGAGGTTGGGGATCGCGGTAACTTGGCAAGGATAAGCGTCTTGCTTTGGCAATCAATGTTGGGAACGTTCTTCAGATATAACCTTTCCATAAAATACAAACTAAACCAGGTACGTCGTTTGTACTATCGATCCGCCAGTTTGCACCCCAGAAATGCGTTTATCGATTCTACGCGAAACCAGAGACGATTGCCGTACTACATCAACACTAGATTTATACATACCTGGTTACATTCATCAAAATAAATTTTGTCGCAAGCGTTTGACATTTTGCTGTTTGTATGGACATAACATACGACTTGAAGAGAGTTGGTCTCACACTTCTCTGATTTGCGTATCATGATCATGCATGTGTAGGCGTGCCTCGTTTAGCCGAGAATAAAAGTTTATTTGTTTAGTTATCTCGATCGCTCCTTGACGTCGCACAACTAGTCACTCACAGTCCACACTATTGTCAAGTGACCCTTTGAACGTCTTCTTTCCCTAATCTTCATACCACTCATCGCCATTCCCTTTCACCTCCTCTTCTTCAGCTCTTGGAGCTGTTTGATAGTGAGGATCCCAGAGAGCGTGATATGGTCAAGACGATACTTCATCGTGTGTATGGCAAATTCCTTGGGCTCCGTGCCTTCATTCGAAAGCAGTTTAGCAATATTTTCTACAAGTAGGTTCTCTGTTTTTCACTCCACTCAAATTTACACACCTTCCAGAATCGACATTTCCGCTTTTGTGGCAATTTTCTCTAGCGTTGACTGTTGTGCTCCCCCCACGAGGGACGTCAGTTTGTGTGTATGTGTGTGTGTGAAAGTTTGTTCACAACTCAACTAGACAATTCATTATCGAGGAGTCTCAACATCCTTCCTTCTGTTTGCCAAGAATAACCGGTTTAAGATGTTTGCATCGCGATTTTCTGCAGTCTTTTGAAGAACTTCTTTAGTTGTCTATACAAACCAACGGCCACTGGAGCAATTTGCCAGTCCATCAGCTGCTGCCATTTGATTTCTCCAGTCGAATGCGTCCAGATAACTTCGTTGCTGTCCTCAAAACTTCCGCCTACGTTGTAATTGAGGGGACGCCGCCTCTGTTATGATTGCGTAATTGCCTGATAAGATTGTCGCTGGCCCGGTTGGAGCACGCCTACGGTGACGACTTGTAACGCTGGCCAATCGAACGGGGTTACGCTGACCTGATGACGTTAGCTTAGCCGGTGAGACGGAAAATTGAGCGAGCGTGTGAACGATCCTAGCCGCACGTGTTCGGATAGACGCTGAGCCCTCGGAACGGACGCACACGAGAGGGGGTTACGATAGACGCGCGCTAATGATTTAGACGCGAAAGCTGGCCAGCTAACGACTCACACACAATCACGTAACCCGACCGACTCCCAACTGAGGCGAAGAGAAAGAAAAAGCAAGTGGTCCTCTGCAGGCTCTTTTACGACCAACAAAGGGCGAATCACAGCCAGTGATATGGGTCATAAAGTGAGGGGAACAGTCACCACGAAGAGGTGGTAGTTTGCAAATGAGCATTGTCGAAAGGTGCGCAGTTGGGCCGCGTCTCGGAGTGACTGAGCTCTGCTGCGCTGTGGGGAGGAATTGAACCTCGGTTTCCACAGCCATTCTGCCGGGGTTTCTGTCGCGTTTATGCGGGAATATTTGACGTGCCCGCAACAGCCTATCAGTCTGTTTTTTACTGATATAGCCTATATCCCCATATGCATTGCACGATACGTGGATCTGTTAGGCCTCTTTGCAATCTAGTGTACATTGAATTATTCGTTGCCAGTAGCGCGCGCGCACACACACTAGCGGCATGTATTTGTTTCTCTTAATCTCCGTCCGTGTCCCCTTTTTAAAGCTGCTGCATCCGTTGCTCCCTAGCTTGTTTGAACATTTTTCGATTCGCCATTATTGTTCGAATCTCTTTTATCATATCCCCATCACCGTTTTATCTCTTTTCCACCATCCCAACATCAGGTTTATTTACGAAACCGAATGTCACAATGGTATTGCGGAATTGTTAGAAATTCTCGGCAGGTACGTCGTCGTTAAATTATCTTTCTTCCACACTTGCGTAGTCCAACGGCTCCGTTGTCCATACACCCGCTCCCTTATTTCATTGTTTGCTTCGGTGTCTCACAGTTTCTACGGGGATGGTGTCACCATCATCAACAGCAGTACATCAGCCATTTGAACTGATCCTTCGCTTCCATGCAACCATGAGGACTTGTGAAATGGAGAATAAGAAGAGGCAGAGAAGGGGGACTGAAAACCTTAATGCCCTAAGCAAACATTTCGGGCCAAGGCGCCTACACCTTGTGTAGACAACATACCGTTACAAACAGCTGGCTATCGTGCAAAGATAAGGCGGCATCGGCGAGACAGCTTCCTTGCGGCTTTCACTGCCCCGTGTCATAATCAGCCATTACCTCGCAGATAACTCAGCAGCAAACACACTTTAAACAGGCAATCCGACTAGGAGACGACAGCAGACGCGCCATTGGTCGGTTGCGAGCCATGTCCTGTAAAGTCTCGAGCCAAGCACAAGGTGAGTCACGTGTACTCCAGCCCGGGAGACGAGACGGACCAACGGTACCCAGTTTAGTCGTCAGTGACTTCATTTGCCGTTGCCAAGTCAACTTCTGTCCACCTGGAGCCTTGCGCCACCCTATACCTGGTAGACTAAACAAGGTCCTCCTAGGTAAGCGGTGACCAGGCATACATAGCGTGTATCCGAGTCAACGCAACTGATTCAGTGCTATCTGTTGTTCTAGGGAGCTAGCATGATTATCACCACCTAGCATTCGCCTACGCGCATCATCGTTGCGGACATGCTGGTGCCATCCAACATCAGCAATGCTTCGCAGACAACGATGATCGGAGATTTGAAGGCGCCTCAGATCTTCAGACCGAAGGGGCCATGTTTCGCTACCATAGAGCAGAACGGCCCTCACTGCGGTCTTGTGTACACGGCCTGTCAGACGAAGGGAAACTCCCTTCTGTCGCCAAAGATGACGCAGTTTCAAGAAGGTAGCTCTGGCTTTTGCAATGCGTGAGCTGACGTCAGTTTCTATGCGCCCATCATTGCTGATGCAGCTGCCAAGATAAGTGAAATGATCAACCACCTCGAGTTCCTCGTTAGCAAGCGTCAAGGGGTCACCAAGTGGCTGGTGATCCTGCAGCAACACTTTGCACTTTGAAGGTGTGAAGTGCATACCAAATAATGGGACTACCCTGGACAGGCTATTCAGGGTTGATTGTGCCGTCGCAACGTGGTCGAAAAGCAAGACGATATCGTCCGCATAATCTAGATCAACTAACCTTTCACCAGGCAGCGCTTCAACGCCTACATCGTGAGTTTCCGCAAGGGAACACTCCATGATAGAATCCACGACGAAATTGAACAAAAACGGGGAAATCGGACAACCCTGTCGAACGCCACTTGTAGTTGAAAAGCTATCCGATAGGACACCATAGACCCTGACGCGGCCTGTAGAGTTCGAGTATAGAGCACGAAGGATGTTCACATATTTCGTGGGAACACCTTTCCGCGTAAGTATTTCGCACAGAATCGATTAATCGACTGAATCGAACGCACTCTTGAAATCGAGGAACACAGCTATTGTCGGTCTGCGGTATGCGTGGCGCTGCTCTAGCACTAACCGCAAAGTGAGTATATGGTCTACACAGCCACGTCCTAGGCGCAAACTAGCCTGCTCTTCCCTAATCCGAGATTCCCGTTCCGCAGTGAGGCGACGGACGATAATCGAGACCAGTAATTTTGTCACATCTGGCGTTAGGCTAATACCCCTGTGGTTCGCACAGTATGTGCGACTGCCCTTCTTGTATATTGCCACTATAATCGATTCGCTCCAATTACCCGGGACGCTCTCTTCTTTCCAGATACATTCGCATAAGGTCAGTGCTTTGCAGAGGATCTCACCTCCATCCTTGAATAGTGCAGGTGGGAGGGAATCCGGGGATGGTGTACCTCCTTCAATACTGCGATTTTCGTTTCCCTCAATAAGTGAAATTATTCGTTGTCAAGTCAAGTCCAAATAAGTTTTATGAAACCTAATGGGTTCATTTTCAGCATTTACACCACCACGGCAGACACCTGGCTGTTAATATCAACAAACATGCTTGAACAGAAAAGTGGGATTTATACACAACTGTCACTCCAACAACCGATTGCGTAGCATATTAGTGACTTTCGTTAGATCAACAAACAAATTTGAGACATAAAGCAACACAAACGTACGGGAGAATAAAATTCTGTATTTCGCAAGAGTAGAACAGAAAGGGAACGTTTTGGAAAGATCATTGTGAAGTGCATGAAATTGATCAGCTAGTACTTTAGAATCAAAATCATTGCAGATATCAAGATGTCTAGAAAGGATCGAATCAATTAGAGCTTTTTTAAACAAGCCGCTGCACCCAGAAATGGGCTTTATAGATGGTATCGATAAGATGTGGTCTATCTGAAGCAATCCAGGGAAATGACAAGAGAGCAGTATAACCAAGGGGGATGATACATGAGGTCACAAACCTGAATATTACACTACGAGGTGCTGAAACCACCTTAAGTCTAAGGGCATAAGAAGGTTTTCTGATTTTTGAAATAGTTTTACAGACATGCGTGGACCAAGAAAGGTTCTGGGACAAGAGGACGCTGAGATACTTGACGGTGGAAGAGCTGGGTACGGGATTTTCATTCACAGTAAGTGTGGGGGACAGATCTATAAAGGACTGCAACTTATCGCCAAGGATAAGAGAACATATTGCATCGCTGCATTTAAGAGTATTAAGCGTAAGTGACCTGGATGAAGACCATTCCACCAGATCTTCCAACCCACGTTGAAGTGATGAGGAATCCTGGTTACTGGGGGACATACATCACAATAACACATTGTCAGCATATTTGCACCCTGTAAACGTGGTTTGTCTAGGGAGACGTTCAACATAGAAAGAGAAGAAAAGGTAGTCAGATCGCTCCCTGTAGAACACTACAGTCGGCACGGAGGATAGGGGATTTCTTACTGTGTTAACTTAGTGAAGTATGTACGATTCGTAAAATAGTCACGTAACTGATTACACACACCCAGGTGAACTCCGTTTTCGGATAGCAGGTTTAGCAACATTGACCTATCTAGACTTCCAAAGCGATTTGAATAATTCAGGAAGTGAAGCCGTACGGATTTACATTTTTGATCTAATGCGTGGACTATAGAATGAACAAGATATGCCATTGCATCCAATGTAGAGGGTTAGGGTGTATACGCATAGTGGTAGATATCATCCTCAGGCACAGCTGTACAAATCCGCGGAATTAATAATTTTTCGAAAATTTTTTAGAAGCGCTGATGTACACGCAATCGGGCAATACTTTTGCGATCCATTTTTAGTACTGGAGGGATACTGGCCGTTCTCCGAATGTCAGGGATCACACCCAGGGTGGCCAGCATAACCCTGGTTTCAAAAAATGGATCTTAAAACTATCGACAAATTGCGTGTACATCGGTAGTACTAAACTTTTTCGAAAAACTGTTTATTCGGTGGATTTGTTCGGCCTCTCCTGAGGACGATATCTACCAGCTTGCGTATAGAGCCCAGCGTGAGGCATTTGTTAAATAAGTCTGTTTCAGTCAGTGTGAGAGAATCAGCACAGTCTTCCTAAGCTAACGGTGAGAAAGTATCCCGACCACGAGCTTTTGAGTTCCTTGTAAACGTTGCTTTGATCGTATGGCGCAGCTAGACTTGAGCTAATGATGCGGAACTAAACTCAGAGTTCAGTTTTCCCCCCATCCACTTCAACGCTCTGGCTGCAGTTATTCTTACAACAGAGTTGCCTCAAAAACTTCCATAGATCACAACAGTTATGGTTGCCTAGAACTGCTTCGACGTGTAGTGGTGTATTTTAGCCCTTTTATCTCTGATTTACTTACTGTCGTTAGGCTTTTTAATTATACCTTTTCTGAAGGTGCAGAACCCCTCAGTTATTGTGCGGCAGTACAAATAAACGAGAAAAAGCATGCGACAGAGTCAGGCCAGCTGTTACCAGTAACGGATGGACATCGTTCCGGAGCGCTAAAAGTCGGCCATTGTGCCGCAAAAAAGGAGTTATCTTATGCCTAATACATGAGATCGAGGTTGGAGGGGGTGGTTAAGCGGGAGAGGGAGGAAAAATGAAACTCTCAACATAAACGACACTGAGGTCGGCCCCTAGCCATAACAACGAGTGTATCCAGCCAAATGTGTTCGTCGTCTTTCGGACGCCAACCAGGAAGCCGAGACGCTCCAACCGAGGCCAGCTTCGAAGTGAGGGCCTTCATTCCTCTTGACCAAGTCATTGCTTGGCCACCTCTCCTCTTCTTCCATCCACATTTCCGGCGCGCAAACAACGCATGTCGTGGAAGTCGATGGGCTGGCATGCGCAACACGTGGCCGATCCATCGGAGGCTGGTGCTTAAAATAACGGTGCTGAGCGGTTCGCTTCTTCTTCCTGCGTCATAAACAAAACCTCGAGCAAGCTCATTGCTCACACGGTGTTCCCACCAGATGTGAGCCAAACTGCGGATGCACCGGTGGTCCAATGTAGCTAGCCTCTTTATGTCCGCTGATCTAAGGGACGAGGTTTCACAATGGTACAGTAGGGTCGAACGTACGGCTGCATGGTTCACTCTACCCTTCAAGGAGAGAATGATGTCACACCGGCGCCATAAGTGGCGATGGTTAGCAATAGCGACTCGAGCTTTTGCTATACGCTTCGTGACCTCGTTTTCAATTTCAACGGCGCTGGTACAACTACCTAGATTGTTGACCTTTCGAACGATTTTTAGCTGATCCTCACCAATAGTCAGCGTAGGAGGCGGTCCCTGCCAACTGTTGAGGATGGCTTTACACTGTGAGGATGCGAAGCATAGTCCGTCACGGTTGACAGCCACTGCCAATCTGTCCTGTACGGCTTGGCACCTTTGGGAACCGTTACCGACGAAGGCCATATTGGCAGCATACTCCAACTCAAGAAGTTCACTGGG